GGCGGGGCCGTCACTCCCTCTTGGAGCGAAGGACCTGCTGCCGAATTGCCGCTGTAGAATGAAGCGGCAGTAGAGCTGCCGCCGCTTGCGATTGCAGCTTTTTTATTTTTTTTTCTGCTTGGGGCGGCAAAAACGCTACAGCCGGCCCTGCTGTTAATGCCACTGTACACTGGGGATTAAGTAACAGTAACCATAATATAATTAAGTTTGATATCTTCATAGTGGAGGGGAATCCTAGCAAGAGGTAACAATGTCACGCAGAACTCCAGGAACCAGCACTTTAAACATGACTCTCTTAGGTTAGAAAGAGCCTGAAGGTATAAATTAGGAAATTAAAATCCCTGGAGGCTGCTGAAGAATAGCTTATTAGAGTCACTAGAAATAAGTCTGTTCCCTGGCAGATGAAGAGAGAGCCACCAGGCCAGCGAGAGCCCAGTGTGGGTAAATGGTAAGGTACACATCTTCACTCCAGCCTAAAGTATAGCTGGGGATACCGGAGACCCAAGTTCCTGTAAACTGCACGGCACCCTATTTAGCGCTGCACAGGTGCTCAGGGAACCCTACCGGGGACCAGCCACAGCTGGGGGTGGGGCACCCCTTCCCCAGCCCTAAGCTAGACCGACCCCCAACCTGCCACAGCCAGGGCAGCGCCCCGGCCCCAACTATGCTGCAGCCCGGACCTGTTGCGGCCGGGGCACCCCTACCCTAGGCCAAACCTGGATGGGACGGCACGGCCTGAACTACGCCCCAAACCCGGGCAGCCTGGACCTGAAAGAGATAGGAAGAAAAGACTGCTTAGCCTTGAAGTTAACATGGGAAAAGGCTGTATGTGGGACACAGATCCCTAGGTGGAGTCGTCCTCTTTGGTCCTATCTTCTCCTTGCCCAGGGCATACCACATATTCCCCAGTGTTTTTGCAGCCTCATTTTAAATGTCCAGAGTTATGGAGGCTTGAGAGACTATGAAACAGTCTGAAAAATCTCATGACTAGGAGATGTTTCTTCATATTCAGCTTGTATTTGCTGGAGCTCCATTTCATCCTCTTATTTCTGATTGTACCACTGGGCCACCCAAACAGTCTACTCTGCCCTCAGTGATCACCCCATCAGGCGCTTGTATCCAGGAACCCCTTTTGACCAACCTCTCCATGGATACTGCTTTACTGCTTAGATTAATTGCCAGTCCCCATCACCCTGATAGCAGATTTGTCTGCCTCCCTGTCCCTGCTTGAGGGAGGATAGGAGCAATCCTTTTGCTTTGTTGTTTGTTTTTTTTCCGCTCCGCACCACCCCATCAAAGCTACTGGAGATAGGAGGCTACAGCTGTGCTTTTAAGTTGAATATCTGCAGCTGAAATAAAATTGCATATATTTGCATAAGGAGCATCTCAATTAACATATTTGTGGGTAAAGCAACAAGGGCTGTTCATTTGGAAGTGAAAACGTGAGCGAAACATGGAAATGACTTCAGCCCCTTTGCAAGCAGCTTAATTAAATATTTCCTTAGCGTGTGCGCATGGATTTAAAAAGCTCCTGCTGTATATGTAATGGGGTGTGAAACTCCAGAGCAACGAACTCCGTCCCTGCAAAGCCCCAGGTGTGTGGATTTGTACAGAAGTTGCCTGTACCTTGATCTGTCTGACCTGGCATCTATGTCATACTCACCATCCTTGTGTTATCCCAGCATCTCGGAAGTGACAGCTCGGCGGGGGGGAGGGGGAGGAATTCAGCGTGATTCCTGAATTGGTTGGAGCCTCCTGTTTGGGAGGCGTTCTGTCTGTTTCCTTACATTTCAGATCTAGGCTCTCCCCCTCCCTTCCACCTCCTTCACCGCTCTCCCTGCGAAAGCCCCACAGGGGGCGCTGTCATGGAAGTCTGACTTGTTCAGAGCTGGGGTTCAAGGATAGTCGTTCCACTCTAGGCAGTGCACCGGTCTCATTCCTGCCAAGGGCCCTGTGTACCTAAGGCTGTCCCTGTGTTTCCATGTAATTGCTGGGGGCCCAGCTCTGCTCTAGTGGGGACAATGACAGCAGGACGAGCCCTTTGTTGGGGTAATCTATACTGTGCCGGTGTTCTTTCCTCCCTCTTGGTTGTCTCCCTGTCTCCCCACTCTGCCTGTCTCCCAATCAGCAGGCCAGATTTCGTTCCATGGGACGCTCTTGCTTCTTGTGGGCCTGGCTTGAGAGTAAGAGACCTGGATTAATGTAGGGCCTTCTGGGGTTGTGACAGCACCATGTCCTGAAGGAGCCATGTTCTGATGGAGGCAGCTGTTGTGGTGTCAGGACTCAAGTGGTGCAGACCTGAATTGCTCCCTTCCCAGTGGAGATACGCCCCATGCCAGCAAAACACTGAGCTCCTTGGTGATTTGACCCTTGAAGCAGTGATAGTGTCAGTGACTGTTGTTTGGTGTCACCTAGAGACTCCCCGTTCGTTTATTTAGCTACTTGTTCTGCGCTAAACAGCTATTTAACAACCACATTAATATCTGGGTGATGGCTTAGAGCTGGGATTCTGCCTGTGTTGAGCCCTCTTGTGATGTGAGATCGCCATCTGTACTAGAAATACTTTAGAGACTAACAAATTTATTAGAGCATAAGCTTTCGTGGACTACAGCCCACTTCTTCGGATGCGAAAGCTTATGCTCTAATAAATTTGTTAGTCTCTAAGGTGCCACAAGTACTCCTGTTCTTCTTTTTGCGGATACAGACTAACACGGCTGCTACTCTGAAACTAGAAATACTTTGTGTCAGCTGATCCTGGACCTGAAGCAGGCTGTTAAAGCACTTCTGAAATGTGTCTTACAAAAGGATGGTGTTTCTGAAGAACATATTAGCTGTCACATTTTAAACAAAGTCCTGTTTAAAAGTGTGTTAGCACCAAGTATAGACGGGGTTTAATACCTTGGCAAACATGCTAGCTGGGTGTGATCAGCCCTAGGCTGTGTGAATATGTAGCAAGGCCAAAATACCATCAGGTTAGTAGAATTCTTCCCAGGTGAACAATCCTGGGGGTGGTTTGTAAGAGCCAAGGAAGTGTCAGCAGGCAGTCTGTCCAGACCACGAGCACATGGGGCAGGATCGACAGCTAACACAAATCCAGCAGCGCTTTTTGTCCCCCGCCGGGGGCTCCAGCATGAGCGCATTGCCCCTTCCCACCATCCCCTCTGTGTGGATCAGGCTGGTATTTCACACTGAATCCCTATGCCCAGCCTTGGGGCCAAGGACACAGTGCGGACTATTGCACTGCTATAGTGGGTAGGTGCGAGGGGCCCCGTGCCATTCCGATGCTGCAGGCTTGGCTAGCTGCTCGGTTTCTCCGGGAATCGGTTGACATGCTGAGGTAACTCCAGGTCTCCTTTTCGCGTCCAGCTCTAATTATGGTGCTTTGGAAGGGCTGCAGTTGTGCTCTTTGTGTTCAATAAAAGCTTCCTGCCTGCCATGTCTGTATCCTACCAAAGCTGTCCCTTTGCAAGGCATCTCTGACACAGGGACTTCAAAGTACAGGAGCATGGGATCAAACAATGGTGAGCATGGGCCCTGGGGAGATGCAGAGGAGAGAGGGGAAGGGGGACGGAGAGAGACACACACAGCTAGAGAGAAGGGGGAAACACACATACAATCAGCCAGAAGGAGACAGAAAACCATGGGAGGCATTGAGAGAGACAAACAACCAGAGAAGGGGGTGGGAAACACAGGCATAGCCCAGCCAGTGACTGAGGATGTGGGAGGGGGCCGACAGAGGGGGTCACACACATTGCATTGTAAGCAAGTGAAAGGCGCTACAGTCATGAAATGTTAATCTGACCCAACCTTTGGCCAGTTATAATTTTCCTCTGAATGAATGTGCATTAATGCAGAGGGCTTTTTCTCCCTGCAATGGAGGGGCCTTGTTCTGACTCCATTTGCTAAAATTGCCTTTCATAAAACCAAAAATAAAGCTCACAAAGTGTGCAATTCAGCCCCCTCATAAGCAGGCGGGAAGGGAAGGGCCCAGCGCTGCCAAGTTAGAGAGAAGGGTCGCCCGCAGGTCCCCTGCCTTTGACCACATGGTGTGTGTTATCACCACATGTGTTATGACGGGGAGCAGAGGAGGAGAATGTGGCTGGGGCAGGGGGAGGAGCGAGAGATGCTGTAAACTTTGTATACAGACCCTGGAGTGAATGATTTGGTATGGTGGGGGGGCTCCCCTGTTAGAAGCCAGACTGACCTCAGTGCCCCAGGGTGGTGCTTTGACGAAGGGAGTGGAGGGGTGACTCTGGGGGGCCTGTCAACCCTCTGACTGTGCTCTGTTTCAGTGCCCGAGGGGGTGCTGTGCTGCAGGTAGCGGGATGGGTGATGCAGTAAGGAGTGCTCTCCCCTCTGACTGTGTGCAGCCCCCAAGGTAGTGCTAGGTTGCTCTGTGCTGTATCAGATACAACAATGGCTCTCAAATTTTGTACTGGTGACCCCGTTCACATACCAAGCCTCTGAGTGTGACCCCCCCCTATAAATTAAAAACACTTTCTGATATATTTAACATCATTATAAATGCTGGAGGCAAAGCGGGCTTTGGGGTGGAGGCTGACAGTTCGCGACCCCCCATGTAATAACCTCATGACCCCCTGAGGGGTTCTGAGCCCCAGTTTGAGAACCCCTGAGATACAACCGTGTGGATAAGATGTGAAATGGAGGCCCTGACCTTTCATGGTGATTAAAAATCCCGTGGGACTTTAAGCAAGAGTCAGGATGTTAACTCATAGATGCTGGCCAAATTTGACTGTGGGTAATTCCATTCTGCCTCTCTAAATCCCCCTGCAGGTTCAGTTGGAGAGTGAGTGTGTGTTTTCACCCCTTGTCCTAAATTATTGTGTGGCCTAATGTTGCCATGAGCCATTAGTACAGCTGCATTTCTGTGGGTGGAGGAATGGTGCCTGTTGCAGTCTGTAAGGCGCTTTGGGACCACAAGAGATGGTGACTGCCTCACAGTGTTTTGATACTACCTCATGAGCTCTCTCTCCCTACAGCTGCCTGTCCTGTGTGAATGGCTCCTTCCCATGCCACTGGTGTAAATATCGGCACATCTGCACCCACAATGCTGCTGACTGCTCCTTCCAGGAGGGGCGTGTCAACATGTCTGAGGTAAGGAGCCATAAAACTGCTGCCCCCGAAGTCTCCAGCCACCTCCCTTCTGCTCTGCTCTGGTTTCTGACATGGACTGTTTGCTGGCTTGCGAGGGAGAGATCTGTAGAGCTGCAATCCCTTCTCTGTCCCCTGAAACCTTCCTAAATCTGTGCCGGCCTCGGGCCTGCAGCCCCCCAGCCAGGGCTTGCTCTTGGTTTCTGTTGCCTGGGCAGTGATGGATGCAGTTGTGGAGAGTCTCTTAGGCTGTTTCTCTGCCTGGTTAGCCCTCAGTGGCATCATCAGCTTGTCCTGATGCTCAGTCACTATGCGAGCCATTAAGAGTGAGGCCTGGGGGGCAGTGTGTCCATTACAAACCAGGTCACTGGTGCTTCCTCTCCCTCCCTCCCCCGCCTCATCTTATCTAGGCAGCTTCAAACCGGCTACCACGTTAGACTGTTAACGCTTCATGTGCTGCAGTCGCAGGGGGCTCCCCAGTCATTTAATTGCAGTTACTTTGTGGAGTTAGAGACTTGTAGAAATTAGGCCAAACTTTCAACTGGTCTCTAACACTTGCAACCCCAGTGTGTGCAGGCACAAATGAGCGTCACACTGTATATGTCTCACAACACCCATGAACAGCCATGGCTGCAAATGGAGTGGGAAATTGGCTCATGAGACCATCTCAGCCCATTCCTTCGGGAGCCAGTGCCGGACTGGTCCCGACAAGTTCAGGCTAGCTCCGGATGGCTCAAGCGAAGGACCTGCCTTTTGAAAAAAGAAGAACAGGAGTACTTGTGGCACCTTAGAGACTAACAAATTTAAGGTGCCACAAGTACTCCTGTTCTTCTTTTTGCGGATACAGACTAACACGGCTGCTACTCTGAAACCTGTCTTTTGAAGTAACTGGTGATTTTGAGCTGTCCAGCTTGAGACACCATTACAGGGGCCTGGTTTTCAGAATGAGAGCATCTGCCCTCTCCAAACGTGTCTCAAGTTGAGCACCCAGCATCACAAGTCACTTCTGAACAGTTAGGCCAGAGCTCCCGCCATTGCCTGTGGGGAAGGTTCCATGCCCTGCCAGGGGTAAGAGGTGTAACTAGGACTGCATGTGGTGGTGTGGTACCAGGGTGTGTGAAGCTGCAAAACCTATGGTGTGACCATTGACTTCAGTGGAGTCAGGATTTCACCCATGCTGTGTTATAGGCCTTCCAGACGGGACTCAGAGTTCATGCAGCTTGTTTATCTCTGGATGGTGGCCAGAGGTCCAGCAATGCCGGCATGTGGCTTCCTGCAGCGGCCCAAGTCCATGTGGCCATTTGCACAATGTCACTAGAGCTGGGGTCAATGGGAATTTCCTTCCTGACCCCCTGTGGTGATGCGCTAATGCCCTGAAGACAGCAGTTGAATCCCCCTTCCGATTCAGACCTGCGTGGCTGCCGGCCTTGTTGTCCCGTGTTGCTAGCTGCCCAGCCTGCTGCGGAGAGCCAGTGAGTAATGAGGGTTTCTCTATCCCCGGGGGTGTCTGTGTTAGACTGAGCTCTGTGCTTTCTGTCACCATCTGCTAAATTGGAAGAAAAGGGCTCCCTTAAAAAGCCATGTGTTATGAGCGCTCTATTAAAAAGTGCCACTTGCCTAGAACCGTTTCCCTTCGGCCCTTCCATCGCTTCCCCTTTGCAGCTCGGTTTTGTCAGAGGCAGCACTAACCCTTCCCATGCTGGAAACTTTAGACTGAGTCGCCAAAGGCAAAGAAATGTCTAGTGGTTAGAGCAGTGACCCTTTGTGGTGTGTGCACACCTAACGGGTGCTTTGGGATGCTCCAGACGCCCAGAGGCTGGTGACCGATTTACTGTGATTGAACTGCACCTGTTCACCTCGTCCAGCGTCCAACACTTATGCACCTGAATACTGTGAGGGAGGGGTGCAGAGAAGAGGCAGCGCCTAGCTGTGATGAATTTCTGGGCTCAGCCAGAGTCTGTGGTTCTCTCTAGCTCCCAGGTGGAGTAACACAGCCTGTGCTACTGTCACCACACAGACTCTCCCTAAGGCTACATTGGCACGACGTGTGATTCCCAGCTGGAGGAGACATACTCATGCTATCTCTCATCTGAGCCAGTGCACTAAAAATAGTGTAGCTGTGGTACCACCGGCAGCCGTGAGTGGTGGCACAGGCTGCATATGTACCCGCGGGGTTCAGGCAGGTTTGTACTCAGGGCGGCTAGCACGGTACTGCCACTGCCCATACTACTGTGGCCACACTAGTATCTGTAGTGTGCAAGGTCAGATGAGAGCTAGCATGAGTATGTCTGCGTGAACTGGGAATCAGACCCCCCAGCTTGGTCCTGGCTTGCTGATACACTACAAGGAACAAGTACTTGTAAATACCTGAGAGAGGTGCTTTCGAGGTTGCTTTTAAAACGAGTGCGTTCCTGTTGGACTCAAACTGTCATAAACTCCTCCCCCCGCTATGAAATGGTGCTGATCAGCTTAAAAGCAGCACTGCATTGCATTCTGATGGTTTCCTTGGCTGTCTGCCTCCGGAGATCGACCTGCCGCTTGCGTTTCTGTCTGATGGACACGCAGCCCTCAATGTTAGGCACAGAGGTTAGCTCGCCATTCTGCGGTTTAGAGCCATCCTGTTCTGAAGGCAGGCTGAAAAAGGGGCTTGCTCTTGGAGGGGCCTCTCTGGATTGGAGGAGGAATTAGCAACACTGGGAAGTCAGGCCTCCCATTTGCCTTCCCCCAGCAATTAGCGGAGAGTGCTAGAAATAACGAGGCTTTCTGAGCACAATCTTCATCCTTGTTTTAGATGTGGTGTGTGTTGTCCCCCTTCCATCCAGACACCTGTTAGGTGCTTTCCCCTTTCTCTGCTGGAGTATGGTACCAAGAAAGAAGCAATGGGCCTTCTTCAGGGGGATGGTTCAAATGTGTTTCTTACTGGGGAAAACACTTGACAAAGTGACCTCGGGAACTTCTCTCCCGTCTGCCCATTAGTGGGGAGGCTGAGATCTGGCAGAACTCATATCACATCAGGGATCCCAGGCTCGGACTGGGCCCAGGCAGCAGGGGAGATTAAAGCTTGTACTCTCCCATGTATAAAAAGCAGCTAAGATTTCCCTCTTGTTTTCCTCTCTCCGGGTTTATGAAATTCCAGCTGGCTCAGAGACATTCACCCCCTCAGCAGAGGGCATCTTCCTATAGAACCCAGTCAGTCCTCCGACTTGGGAGAAGGCCTAGATTCAACAGAACATTGCCCCCCCAACGTCATTGACCCCCCACCTCATTTCACAGGCTCTTTCCCGCAGCCACCCCTCCACAGTTCTGAGTTCTTTCCTCCTGCCCTCCTCCCACCAGAGATGCTTGCTTCCTATCCCCAGCCGTTCCTCACATATACCCCTTGGTTGGCCTTCACCCCCCCACATCAACTATGGGACCTGCCAATAGCCCGGCCAGTTAACTCCCCTGCCCCGTCCAGTTCTGCTCCCATGCTTAGGATGAGCAGAAGTTTCCTCTCAGTGAGCCCCCTCCCCATAACCGTTGGGAGCCTTTCCTCTTCATCTCTTGCGGCTGGTGTCTCCTGAGTCTCCAGCATGGGGCGTATAGGCTGGTGCCCCTCTGGAGTAGCTGTGAGTTGGTTCCACCCCGTGGGTGGCAGAGTTAGATGGATCCGACTGTGAGTGCCAGTCCAGCCTAGGCGCCCTCATTGGTATTTTTCACTTCCCTCTCGCTGCGTCGTTTCCACCCTGACTCCTGTCACTGCAGCCGCTCCGGGCTGACGAGCGTCTGCTCGGCATTGAATAGGTCAAGCTCCCAGCGACGAACCATTCATTTTTCTTTTCCCCCTCTTTTGTCATTTCTGGGAGCCTGGGCCCTCCAGGAAGGAAGCGGAGAACTGGGCAATTACTCATCCAGAGCCCAGCCATCAGCAGCACAATTACTCTTGTGCAACAGCCGCTTACGTGTGAGGGAGCGACTTTATTTATGATAGGCCAGATCCTACATGCCTTACTCGTGCAAGTGGCCTATGGAAGTCAATGGGCCTGATCCTGCTGCTCCCACAGAAGTCAATGGGGCTGCTTCCATGAGCAAGGCAAGAAGGACCGGGTCTTGTATACTTCATAATATCTCGGATACGTGATCTGGAGTCAGTGAGGCCCAATAAACACAGAGCCCAATGATGCTGTTTTCCAGAGCAGCTGCACTTCAGGGCTCACATTTTCGGTCAACTCCAAAATTGCACCTGCAAACTGTATGGTCAGCGCTCACAGCCCTTTAGCCGCATAACTCCCTGTTCTGCGTGCACACATTAGCTGTGTCTGCATGTGCAAACCTCGGCAGGCAGAAGTTTGGAGTTACCTTTGGAGATATGATCCTAAAAGCATCTGGAAATATCCTCAGGCTCTTGTTTTGTGGGATATAGGCCCTTCCCAGAGGCCCAAGCTTGAGAACAGGCACCGTGTGTAACTTCCAGCATGGGTGAGAGCTGGCCCTGGCCAAACATTGGGGCTAGACTCAGGCAGGACCTGAGCCTGGTGTGAGGCTTGGAACAGCTCAGTTGAGGTCACTGTCACTTGGGGTAGCCTCTGCAGATCCTGGCAGGGGTGGTGAACTGTCTGCCAGGATGCCCCTCCCGGCTGGGACCAGCAAGTCCTGCCCCTCTACCTACAAAGCCTGTTCTCTGGAGGTTTTCAAATGAGAGCGGTTCAGACACAGATCCTGATGAGCCCCGCGAGTGTGTAGAGGTTGCTGCCGTCCTCCTTGGTGCTGGGCCATCGCCTGTGGGTCAAATTAAGAACAGAGACTCAACCTGACCCTGAATTTCTAGCCTTTTGTGGGTGTGTGTCTAACCCTCCGAGTTATTTTAAGCAGGACTTGGTCTGGCTGAATTTCAGCTTGTCTGAGTGTGGCCAGTGAGGTAATGGAAATCTCCTGCCCCCAGTCAGAGGGTTAACCCTTTCCTTGCTGGTTTTCCTCTTGTACCTGCTGGGCTGTCATTGCCCAGTAAGCTCTCCTTGTAATCA